AGGGATACAACCGCTTACCTTGAGCTCAAAATCGAAAAAGAAGAGAGTAAGGAACTGAAAAAATCTCTGAAGATGATTCGCCAGATACTAAAGAAAATGGAGCGTTTCGAAAGTCATACACGGAAGATCACCAGGCTATTTTTAAGCTTGAAGAAGTTTCTTAAAAAAATAAGAACTGAAACAGATGGTTCTAAGGCATTTGTAAAAATGACAAAAAATCTTATTAAAGATATATCAAATATGAATGTAAATACGAGCGGAAACACATTCCAAAGCCAAAGCAATGAAATTAAGACCCTTAAATCTGCAATGATAAATTACAAATCTGCCTTACTGAACGAATCCATGACAGAGAATGTCAATGAAGTTATACACAATTTTGACGAGATTGTCGAAGCGATCGAGACGGCGATCGAACTGTTGAAGAGTTTTTCCAAAAGCTATGCGTTTGTGAAGAAAAATCTTGACAAAGTTCGTTTTCTGGGTAAGTTGTCAGTTCATGGACATATTTGTTTTATTAGAGATTTTGCATTTTGGTATGTCATTTTGCCATGATTTCGATGATTGGTTGAGAAAATATCAGCGTGGTAGGTTTGAAATGATTTATGACCCGAACTGTCAGGGCTAAAAGGTCGTACGGGCGGGGCTTCTTAACTGTAATTTTGTCTATACTAGGCAGAGGGTAGTTTATAACTAGACTGTGCGCACAGGGTATGCAACGATTGAAAACAAAGGCCACACCATTTCTATGATAGAATGTCATCTCTAAGGTACCAAGGTACTATATAAGATTTTTTCTATGTAAATCTTCTCTAAATATGCTTAACTTCAAAGATAAACTAATGTTGATTGTCTAACCAGGTTAAAAAGAAGACTAAATTATATTTCAAATATTGCACTGCCATTGGTTTCTATGAAAAATAAGATTTTGAAATGCATTTTTCTGAGACATATACGGAGGCAATTAATAACTGGCAATTACAAGAACAAAAGTCGTCATATTATGTCTGAGTCAAAATGTTATACATTTTGTTTGTGGTTATGCAGTTGAGATTTTCATCTTGATTATTCATTTTAGGCCTATTCACGATAATTGATATCTTTTGGAAATCGAGAAATAATGAATTTAAATCAAAATTATGACGATAATTTGAATATATATATATATATATATAAGTAAAAATAAGAAGAACTAATAAAATACGTTTGAAAATCTAAACATGTTTCTTTATTCCTCAGTAGATTTTTCAAAAATGAGAACAAGAGGTATACAGGTAAGTATGACGTAATATTAATATAATTAATTAAACGTCATGGAAACCATAGATCGAGGAGATCCTTATAAATTTCTATTTGGAGGATACAATTTATTAGACAGCAGAGTGAAGGTTATAATTGGTACTTTAATGATACAACGTATGACTTCCTTCTTCAGTTAATGTATGTATTGGCAAGTATTAGCAAAGTATGCTAGTTCGACTAGCGCTTCGGAGGATACAAGTTTTTGGCAAATCGTATATGTCTAACATTGTTCAACTCATTCCAAAGTAAGAAGTAAAATTCAAAACGATGTGGGGAGCAGGACACAAATGCATACTTAGAAAATATCAACGTGAATGTTACGTCAAGAAGTCGAAGTTAACAGCAGTTCTAAATCAGATTGAAGCAAGATAAAATCTCGTTACGCTCTACATTAAAGATCATTTTTTTATATATAAAAATAATGCAATCTTGTATCATTAAAAAACTATGAAAACGAAAAAGTCTAGTAAATATATCATATCTCCAATTTGAGCGTTTATGTGTGCTCAACTAATGGAAAAATGCAATTCCTTTGACCATATCTTAATATCTTATATCGTTTTGACCATAAACTGAAGAAAAAGTCTCATATATATCAGTATATCAATATTGTAATGATAATTTGATCGTTTATGAGTGTTCAACTAATGGAAAAATGTAATTTCATTTGATTATATCTCAATATCATTCTACTTATAAAGTTATGTTCCTGAATATTTAAGAAGATTAAACAACAGCTGCTGATACATTCGCCGTCTTGATCAGAAAGATCACTGAAAGCTGCTTGCAAATCACTAGATATAGAAAGGGTTGTAAATAAAGTCCATCCTTGTGTGTGCCCTATAATTATTTAATTTGCCAAAAAAAAATCCTTATACTTATATCGTACTATGTATATAGATGTAAAGTATATAATTATGCTGATCACCATCTTCCAAGGCCTGCATTTAGGGTATAAAGTATATCTCTCTGAATTTGGAATCAGCATAAAATAAAACAAAATTTAAAACATAAAAGAGCAAAATGTTTCTAATTGTAATTCAATATATATATATATTAGTATTCAAAAACAGGACTTAACGATCTTAGCACAAGTACCAAACGGAAAGGGCGACAAGTTGTAATGAAACTTGGCAAGAAAAAAGCAAACTCTAAGTGTACACCAGTCATAAGAAACACAAATCCTATATATTCCCAAACCAAGATCTAACGTGAAAAAGAAACAATGTCTAATACCCCCTTTCCAAGCCATTCAAGAACTAAGATATCACAATTCAAGACCAGAAAACCAAGGGACATTTCATTCATACTGAAGTCATTGCAATATTTAAAATAGAAAAAATTGAGATTGATAGCCGTACTCATATAATCAAAAAAGTAGTAGACACAAGTACTCATAAAAGATGTGGGATAAATAAAACCCAGTCTCAAACTCCATGGGCGTTTTGAAGGGTCAAGATCCATTCGAAACGTCGTCGCTATAATCCATAAAACACAATAATTCAATATCTTTCAATAAGGATGAGCCAAACTGTTGTCAGAATTTCGTAATCGCTTTTTTATTTTAACTATCTACATGTAGTTTATGTTTCTGTTTCTTAAAATGGCCACCTCGACTTAAAGGTTGTTCGTATCCTGTGTCGAGTTATTCTGTCCCCAAATGTAGTTTGTTGTCGCAAACTAGTACGAGGGGTGAACTAAAATAGAAATATACATTTGATTCACATTTGCACGCCTTTCAATAAAAACAAGACATACAGTGATACATATCGCACTTTGAAGAGCAAAACCTAATCTGATCCTGGCAGTACTTTATGACAAGAATTGATTTGTAATTGTAAATTGTAATCAAAAAAATATTTTTGACAATTTAAAGGTCACTGATCGAAGGTCAACACACGTAAGATCTTAAATCTAAGGTCAGAACGAACTCCTGAGTATTTTAAGATAATTTAAAAAAAGAATTGACCAATTTGAAAAATTCAAAGTAGCCGATTTATCAAAGAATTCAAAATGCCCATCATGTAATTTAGCCAGCATACCCAAAACCTGATCTTGGCACTAGTCTGCTCTTGCATTTGATAAAATTCAGGTTGAACATTAATTTGGTTTCCTTGGAATTTTGATGACAAGATTCATGGAAAAATTCAAAATTGCCACAAACTAATTTGCCGGGCATGCTTTGAACCTGTCTTCTCTTACATCTGTAAACATTTGAAGCTAAACAGGTAAGCGGTTCTCCCGTAATTTTGATGACAATGACTGTTTTGTAGTCTCGAACTTAGACCTTGACCCCTTGGATCTTAAAAAGTTCACTTTTCAGACCTCAGGTATTTTCTAATTAAACTGACCTACATTTGAATCAATAAAATCAACTTTTACTTTTCAAACATCTGAGAACTTTTAGTTGATCGAAACATTTGATCAATTTGAAGCAAAAAATCAAAATGGCCGATTTATCGAAAATTTCAAAGTGGCCTATAAATTTCAATCAGCCTATAAAGTTATATCGTGTGATAATTTTATAAAGAAATATTCAAAAATAAAAAATAGAGTCAGGTATCATGAGAACTTTATGATAACCCCTCGTCTACAAATACATTGGAAATAGCTAACAAATCACGAAGCCCTTTTGGCATTTCGTTTTTTAATTTCAGATGTACCCCATTGGGGCGAATGGGGAGCTTGGAGCAAATGCCCTGGTGTGACAGAACGATGTGGTGTGAGGTTTCGTGAAAAGTTGTGCATAGATGATAGTGGAGCCTGGCAATTTGGAAAATGTATCGGCAAACGACCGACTGAACAAGGAGACTGCGATTGTAAATTGCCGACAGAACACACCGGTGGGCGATCCGCCGGTCGTCAAACCTATAAAGTGCGAAATGTAGAGCCATACTCGTACATAGTATCGATTTCGAAAAACGTTTCGTATTTAGGAGAAGATACCGGACATTTCTGTGGTGGTATAATAATTTCAGACAGATGGATCATGACTGCTGCACATTGTGCCTGCTCTGATGGTTATTGTTGTACAGAGAATAAGTTCCTGTAAGTTTTTTAGGAATCTATACTAATTATCGCAGTTTCAGCTCCACCAAAAGCTTTGTTGCTGCTTTTATATTACCTTTTCTCGTGTAGGCCAAATACGAACCAAATATTGCTCTTGTACCGTTTTATTTTCAGAACTTCAAAATGTGATTTGAAAAATTGGAAAATAAGCGCTGGATTATTGCAACCACATACAGAGATGATTGATGAGAGCGGTCAAATAGTGGAAGTTGTCAGTGTTGTGATCCATGAGAATTATACAAAAAATGCAGAAGGCGTACCAGAAGAAAATGACATAGCATTGATCAAACTCAAAGCGACATTTAACTTCACAAAACCTAATGTTCAACCATGCGATCTCCCGACTAGTATTTGTAGGGGTTCTGCAGACGAGGAATGTGAAAGACATTCAGCGTGGAAGCAATGGGACTGCGAAATAGCAGGCTGGGGTCAATACAAAGCTAACTGTAAGAACTCTATTCTTCGCTTCTTTTTGAATGAGTACTTCATTGTAGAATCAGAATTGCATATTATATTGTATGTACACGTGTTATCAAATTTTGGCGTGCTGCTACACTTTGGAATAAAGCCACACTACCCTACCTCGATTGCGCATGCGCGAGATTTTTTACTTTCGTCCAGGGCATTTTTGAGTAAATCGACTGCAACTCGGAAAGCTTAGAATGTGTCGAATGAGGAATTAGTTAATTAGTTAATAATTGTTACTCACTCAATTCCAATTGTAAATTAGTTAACTTCATGTTCAAAACTACATGTCTGTACAAGGCACAACATTTTAAACGTTGATTTGCACAGGGCGAAGTCAATGTAAATTGTTCAATAGTACAGGGCGCATGGAAGTAAGCTGATTATTACATAATGATTTGCTGGTTTTATACCAAAACCAAATCAGAGATAGTCAGTAATGTACATGGTACATACATTCCTGAACCGATACAATACCAACGTAAATATGTCAGTTATTATGTTTAATAATATCCAGTGATGTTGCATTCAATCATGAAACGCTCATCAATGAAACAAACACTGTCCTCTTTTTGACAAGAGGAAAAATGTTTTACATAATGTTCTGCCTTACGGCAAAGTAAATATACATTTTTCGCACTTTTTATTCCTCTTAAAATTTTAGAAAAACAACTAAACTATTCACAAAAATACAGTAACATTCATACTAGAAACTAGTAACATACTAGAAAACGTATCTACATATGACACAATAACACGCAGTATGAATAACAGTTAACTGAGGGTTTGTTGCATATCAATGTCAAAAGAAGTAATATATTCAATGTGAAACTTACAAGCGCCTTGTTTATTAATGGATTTAATTAAAAGCATCCTGTATTGCCTCCAATTTTTACTTTACTGCGCCCACTAATCTCTATCTTTGGCTATACGGTTTTTGTTAACAATTTTCTACAAACTGTTCGATGAATATTTTATGTCAGGTAGCACACTAGGAATATATGTAACATGTAGTTTATGTTCAGAAATATGGAAATAAGCCCTAGTCCTCCGTTTGTAACTTAACTGTAGCCTGTACCCCCTTTTAAACGTGGTCACGTGGCAGGGTAGTGTGATAGCTGATCTTATTGCACAAAAAGCTCCGATAAGGACTATTATAAGGTATTCGAGGTGACTTCAAAATAAAAACATCACATGACAGTTTTTACTATAAATGAAAACAAGCTTGCATTCGTGAATGCAACTAAGGCTACCGGATAGACCTACTTTTTTATTACCAACTCATTTAAATATGAATGGAATAGTGGCAGGTACTATTAATTTTTGAATAATTAGAGCCGGTGTAAACGGAATTATGGTTTCTAGTGTAGGTGGTCCTAGTTGGACCATAATTCAAACCTTTTATTGCACCACAATCCCTAAGGAAAATGTTCCTTAATATAATACCCTCTGTTCCAAAAAACCTGTGCGTCGTGCAATGCTCATAATTTTTGAAAATGGAAAGCATACAATTTCATACTTTCTATATGTATCAACGATGTGTATAAAAGTTGGATAAGATATATGGAATATCGAAAACACTAAAGATCAGTAACCATAGTGACCTCACAAATCACTGTTGCGAATATTTTGTAACTTTTCAAAGTGTCTGAGGAAAGAATTATTTTCATAACCTCAAAATGATCACTCTGGGCAGAAATAAGACAGTAAAGAATTAGTCCTCATTGGGAATTGGGGCAAATACTATTTATGTTTAAATGATTTGCCCATAAAATAGAAGGTTAATCCGGTAGCTGGTAGCCGTCATATGCATTCGCGAATACACGCTAATTTCAGCTCTATCCTCATCCCCAATATTGAGAAAGCAACCAGTTGTCACAGCGGATAAAGCGAATCGAGAAGAGATAACTGCTACGATTTACACCAGTGCTATTGGACTCGGAACAGCCTGTAAGGTAGGTGGAATTTGTATAGAGATAACCAAAAATTTCAAAAGGCATTAGTTAAGCGTTAATGTCCATTGAAAATGGATTCTAGTAAAACTATCCAGTTATTACACGTTTCAGCATGTGATACGGGAAATAAGAAAATTTGACAATTTTTGGGGAATTGCATAAATCTTGTCTAATAAAAATTTGTTGGCATTTCCCCTGATATTACAATATAAAATGTGAGAGTAAATAAGTGAGTAGTATATATCTAGCAAAGCTGTTAGATTTAATTTGTAGCGTATTTTGTAAAGTATACCTAGGGTTTTGGATATTTTCGAAATAATATAAGATATATGTTCGTTCCAATTTAATTTATTGTCAATTATTACTCCAAGAAAGTTTGTTTTTTCAACTAGTTCAATAGTATTTCTATCAATCTTTAACTGATATTTTGGATCATTGAGTTTACTTTTTGATTCAGTAAAGATCATATAATTAGTTTTATCTATGTTGAGTGAAAGTTTATTGTTCTTGAACCAATTAGAAATTAATCATTTCATTATTTGCAATTTTGAATAAGTTTTCTAGGTTATCATCTTCGAGGCATATATTAGTATCATCAGCAAAAATAACTTATTTGAAAATATCTGATACCTTATAAAGATCGTTTATTAAAGTTTCACTTTTATCTGAATATGTATCCTCAATAAAAGTTTTTAAAGGACGGTTTTTTAAATAACTTCTGAACCAATCATTAGCAACACCGCGAAAACCTAGCATTTCTAGTTTATTTAGTAAAATTGTATGGTCAATGGTATCAAATGCCTTGGAAATGTCTAAATATAAACCTAGAACATGTTTTTTATTACCTAAAGCAAATCGAATTTGTTCAGAAAAGTAAGAGTGGCCATATATGTTGAATGTTTAATTAGATTATTAGTTTTAAGAAATGTAGAAAAACGTTTATGCATTACTTTTTCAAGAAGTTTAGAAAAACACTCAGTAAAGAAATACGTCCATAGTTCTTAAAAAGTGATCTTTCTCCTTTTTTGAAAAGTGCAATTAATTTTGTAATCTTTCGTTTATCTGGCTACCGAAAACAAATTAATTCGCTGCATAGAGTTGAGAAGATATCACATACATGTATGAGTATCAAATGTAAATACCAACACAAAGAACAAGTGAAACTATTGAGCGAATATGAATTGTAAAGATTATTATATTCGATGAAATAAAGAACATTCGATTGATTTGGTAAAGGTTTGGTAAATTGTTTCTTTTATTTGGTAAGCACGGAATATTTAATGTGCCGAATAAAGAAGCAGTTTAAACACCATACTGGCTACCCTACAGTATCTCCATGTTAAGTCAACATATCCTTGATAAAATACTCCATTCATATGTAAGTTGATTAATTCACAGTTGCTGGAGTTAAACTCATTAATTTTCATTAACAGGGTGACAGTGGCGGACCGTTAGTTTGCAAGGACGTCGGCAGCAATAGGTCTGTTGTCATAGGAATAATGAGTTACGTCGAAGATGGTTCTTGCATTAAGGACGCTAGGGGGTCTACGGTTCACACTGAAGTGCCACACCTTTTACCCTGGGTGTCAGATAAAATGTCAGGTAATTAGGATTTGAGCCTCTCCAGATTATAGATCATAGGCCTAGTCGCATATGTCTGTGCATGTTTGAAGACTAATATACAGTGCGTCCCAAAAAACGCAACAAGCAAAAACATTGTAAAACCATAAGACCAGTGATGATTACATATTCAATTTCATTCAGTTCACCATTTTCGCGCATGGGTATAAGAGGCATTTGCGCCAAGTTTTGAAATATCCTCAGTCAACTGATTATATTGTGCAATCAGGTAAATCATTATATGTAATTGGGACTGGGGATTGAACTCTGGTCACAAGAGTTGCATAATCCAAGTTTCAGATTTAGATTCACTGAGAAAAAAGATTTAACTATAAGTGTCCATCAGTATCCTTGATGGATCAGTTAAGGTTACAAACATATGGAAAAGAATTAAACAGTTAAGTCAGTTAAGTTACAATCATTGCCAGTGTCTGTCATCTTGCTCGGAAAAATGTTGGGCCCATAACTACAAAAATTGGGTCCATATTTTAAAAAATCAAGGCCCATTTTTGATAAATTGCCACAAAAAAGGCCTTATGCCCCAAATGCCCATTTTCTGAGGCCCTTCCAAATCTTGGGATTCAACATTTTCTGGGCCCACTTAAAGGGGAGAACCCGGGCCCCATCGGGCCCCTGGATCCGGCACTGGGATGATGTCCGATATGACACAGCTGCAGGTATACAGTAGGGTGGTCCACTATTCTCGGGCTTACTTATCGGCAAAGAAGGCTTTTTATCTTTCCTCAGTCATTATCCGGTTCGTCAACTCAACCATTCACTTTCTTTCCCGTGGTCCGTTTCTCGCATTGGTCAGTATACGTCTGTAACCCTAATCAGATATTTTGAGAGCTACATGGTGTTCCAAAAGTAACAGAACTGGCATTTTGTTTATTTTGCACCAAATGCCGTGTCTATTTCATTTTAGATGTAGTAACGAATATATCGGTAGGTCAATCATATAATTATGATGTTTGCAATTTTGTCATCCCCTATATATCTTATTTTGCCTTTCATTCTTTTTAAGATTTCGTTGCTATATATAAAAAATGATTGTTATATGCTGTGTCTTGTATCTTTGTTTATTTATTTTCTAGAATGGGGTGAATGGAGCAATACTTGTGAAACACAAGGTGGAATGAGACGCCGCACGAAGTCTTGCCTATTTTTCAGTTACTTCAGTATTCGCGGTAACAAATATCAGAATTACCTTAACAATGAAGGAAAGTGTATTAAGCAAGAACTGGACAACTGCAAAGGTAAGCGAGTTAAATGTTACATATAAACTCAGCCTATGCCATTGGGGTCCAACTATACATGAAAAACGTTAATTTGAATTTTAGACCTCGTCATCGATCCATTTTTTACAGAAACGTGTAGCAGTAAAGGTGAAGTATGTTTCGACCGAGACGACTGCTGCCCGAATGAGAACCTTGCCTGTGGCGTGTTAAAGCATTGTACGTATTTTTAAAAACTCCCATAAACACTATTTCATTTGTTCATAATTCTTACTAATGTTCAACTTATGATTTTTTTCGTGCAGACATGAACCACCACGTACAACTACCTTAGAGTCAACTAAGAACCACTTTCCTGTTAGAGTACATTCTTGTTACCCTCACAGTTCATCAGTACAATACTAAACAATGTACAGTAGAAACATAAGTCAGAAAAATGAAAAGAAAAAAAATTAATTAATTTAAAAAGTTACACGTTTTTATCAGTACTTATTGAACGCCCTTGTATTAGTAATATTATTATCCAGGCTGTAGAGAAACAGGGGGAGCTTGCTCCATTGACGAAGACTGTTGTAGAGGCTTGGCTTGTAATAGAGGCGAATGTATAGTTGGTAAGTTTATATTGGCAATGTAAAAGTTTGAAATTTCTAAGTTTAGATATAGGTTTGATAGATTTTTTAATCAATTCCCAATCTAGATAAATGGATTGAAATCGGTATCATGGTTATTATACAAAACTTTTGTACAAAAGAATCCTAAAAATAGGCCAAAAATTAAAAAGACTTTTGCCCAATAATGCTAATGTGTTATCTAAATTGCCCAATATTTTGAGTGGGGGGAGGCGGGACCCGAGCCGTCAATATTCGACATTGTATACGGCCACTATTACTGCTCGGTTATTTTTAGATGCTCGCATGGTTTGTTCAAAAAAGGAATGAATTGTGTTTAGTGAAGATATTGTACTCCGTTAATTATCATTTTCAATTCAGATCCTGACCAACCAACCTGCAAAAAACGAGATGTTGTTTTTGCACTGGAGACATCTTGCTCGATTGCCGATAGCGACAAAGAAGATATTCGCTCTGCTCTTGTTGAATTCATACGTGAAGTACAGGTAGACCCAGTTGATGGTATAAAGATAGGAGCGCTAACATTTAATAAAGGCGCTCATCATGTCGCATATCTTTCTGATTCTGACGACCCCGATAACTTGGTGCGGCTGGTGGAAAACATGAACTTGACAGCGGCTGAATGTTGGACAGATTTCTTTGAAGCTTTTCGCGCAGGCGAGCATGAGTATTTTACTCCCGCAAATGGTGATCGTCCAAATGTCGAAAACCTTTTTATTATGATAACAGATGGTGTACAAACAAATCCAGGTAAGGGAATATTTCTCTTAAAACAATTCATTATTTAAATACTGGGCATGTGCCCGTGCGTTTTGCTAGACTATAAAAGGCAAACTCCCTTGACTCCCTTACATGTACGTATCTCAATAATGATGTGTCCTGAAACACATTATCTATATGCCATTTAAATGTGATTTAGGGATTTTAAGAAAGTTAATTCTAAAAAGTCCCATTAAATAAAATGAATACAGAGTATATATTTGAATTATATGATGGAATGTTGATGAAAAAATCCCAAGTAAAATATTCTAAATAATACAAATGTTAAATATCATTTTGGTTCTTGTTCATAATACACCTATAACATGTTCTCACAAAGGATAGGTATCGATATGGTGAACTGAATTCAACGTGTTTTTATCTTAAATTAATTATTGCAAACATTCTATAAAACACGGTCCTTTATTGACTGATATTGCAACAATTTAATGCAAAAATTATTTATATATATTTTATATAACTGTTTTTGATAACATTTTTTGTCAATTTTCAAAGATTCATCAAATTTATCATCAATTTTCGACCTATTGTAATTGAGGGAAATAATTGAAAAAATTTGGAGGTATTGGAAATAAAATCAAGTAACGTTACCATTAATATTATAAGTATTTTAATCGCAGGTTAAGTGAATAAAAATTCAAACGTAAAGATGCTTTAACACGTTGTTCAATGGGGGAGCTAAGGTTGCTAAACTTATGGAGGGGAGTGTATGTATTTGATGAATGATGATGAATCATGATTGGAATATAATGATGTAATGATCAAAATTAACGAATAAAGATTGAAACAGATATAGAATTAAAACTTTTTTCTTTAAGACGCTACTCTTAAAGGCACTGTTTATTTTTTAATTCATCATCCATCATTTAGATTTTACAGAAGAATTTAGACATTTGTGTAAATAACCTAAAACATTGTTGATATCGGCCAATATTGAAAATAGCAGAAAGGTGATTGCCTTAGCAACTCGGAAACAGGTTCAGCGGAGCACTTTTACGAACACGGTGGCGATCGGCAACGAAAACTCCATAAAACTTACCTAAGATGATTTACGATGACTGGTCACTTGTAATCCTCACCACCCATTCCTCTTGGTATTTCTGTCTTGGAATTGCTCTGCTGAATTCCGTTTCAGAGTTGCTATGGAAAGCACTTTCTTAACAATGTTTTAGGATAGTTAGACAAATGTCCTATGACTAAGTTAATGGTTTTTGGCATTATTTTTAAGTACGTGACGGTAAACGATATGGAATAACAGTATTACATACATTGCATGTCAATGAAATATTATTTTAGCAAAGTTCAATACATGTCCAAGGACATTTTTTACCAGAAAATATGATCCAGAATGAAGGTTCAAGAGACCATAATTTGGTATTTATGGTCCATCCCGGACATCAAATTCTAGCGAATGGACTAAAATACCTAAGGAAATATAGTCCATCGGCCTTGTTATTCTAGATAATACAGTCGGACTTTATTTTCCAGGACTAGTCTAGCGGACCATATGAAGCACGGTCCATATTTACGTTGACACCGGTTGCTCAGAAAGATGACATACGCTTATAATGTAAACCAAGAGGGGGAGAAACCCCAGGGTTCAAAGATAACATACGCTTATAATGTAAATCTGTATTGAGATGACATCGTCGCTGATTGGTTTAGCGAGTCGATCGTTGATTGGTTTAAAACTAGGTCAATTTGAAAACTTTGAAAACCAAGATGGATGGTACGTTTTCGACAAAAGGAGGTGCGCGAAGGAGGAAATCGTATGTCATCAATTGAATCATGGGGTTTCCCCTCCTCTTATGTAAACCTGTATTGAGAAGACATACACCTCTGATTGGTCCAAATCGATAAACAAAAATGGCGGATTCAAAATTTTCTAATAACGCTTTGAATAATATTATGTTGATTCCTGGCATCTTAACCAATATCATAGCTTGGTTTTTCACATCAATATAAAGAAATATGTAAGAAATATGTTTACATGGATTAAAACATCACGATGACGCGCCATGTTCGAAAATTGACTGGTGAGAATTTGCGCAAACGAAGGTGGTACGCAAGAGACGTATTATGTCAGTCATCGCTAAAGCTCTGGGACTTTGCTAGAACTTGGTGTCCGGGGTGGACAATAAATACCAAATTATGGTCTCTCTCACCGTCATTCCGAACCATATTTACTAGCTAGAAATGTCCATTGACATATATTGAACTCTGTCAAATTAATATTTTATTGACAAACTAGATAGTTCATGTAATGCTACTATGTCATATTGTATATCAGTCACACTTGGATCTTAGGTCAATCCGACCCCTAAGGTGTATAAATATTTGACATTTTGTGATTAACTATTAATTTGCTTTCACAATAATTATTTTTTGTGCCAAAAATGCTATATTAGATACAAGAATAATCTATTATCTGAACTTATGCACTTTTAAAGGTATCGCGAAAACTCATTGACATCAATGTACATGTAACGAAATTGAATAATCAACAATTTTAAGTACAACTTGTTTTGTCTTTAACATTCATCTTTCAAGAATAAATCCAAATAACAATCAGTGATTTAGTAAGAAAATGGATAAATGCTTAACTTGCTGGTATAAGTCCTAAATAAATTCGGTCCATGATTTTGCCAGGCAACCACATAGTAAAGGAATGCAAATCGAATTAGTGAAGTTGAAAAATGGGGGTAGAGGAGAATTAAAAATCGTATCCACCAAAATTTAGAGACGGTCATCACCCATAACTCTGATGTCACAGATTGCATAAACATTCAGTAACGTGTAAACATTTCAAAGGTATTCATTAAAGCCTTACTATGCGAATTTTCAAGATTTTGGGGCAAAATGAAGACTTTCTTTTGAACTACAGATCATCTCGAATGGATTTATAATAGGTACTTTATCTTTCATCAAAGACATCAAAATAACTCAAACGAGCCACATCAAATCTTATAATAAATTATTTTAAAAAATTTGCTCTGACTAGTCTATAAATAGTTTATAAAAAGTTTTTACCATTGTCAATGAAAGATGGCGACGTTGCTTGTAGTACATGATTCATTCATTATAGAAGTGTCACCATCTTTTAAATAAAGAGTTATTTAAAAACATGCACTGTCAAAAATATGCATGCACAACTAAAGATTTCTGAACTTCAAATTCTGTTTTCTACGTGACTTATTTTTTCTCGGTTCAATATTAATGCAAATCAAGCTTTGTATAATATTTAATTGAGTGTGTGAATAACATGTTTCAACGATTAATCTCTGTTTTTCCTTCTAGATTAAGCATAGTGGGCCTTTAAGTAATTTTTGAAAAATAAATTCTCAAAGGAGAACCCCCGATAAGGAGAGTTTTTTAGAAGGACATTGCTTTTTATTCTGAAAGTGATCATCATGGAAATTTAACACATCGGAGATTTAATACATCAGAGATGAGGTGATCTTAGATATTCCCAAAAACAACTTGTGTGATATAAAAATTGCTTTTTTAAGAACATTTTTGGCAAGGCAATGAACTCGTTTTTAAGGTTAGACTCTTTATTTGTGGTTTAAATCCCTGTATGGCCTAATGAGATAGGAATAAAGTGTCACAGTTGTAAGATACCTATTTATCTGAATTCTTAGAAAATAGAAAGAAATCAATGGGTGTTTTCCTAGAAATATGTTTTTGAGACCTTTCCACTCATGAGAATAACGGAACCAATTCGTAAATCAAAAATTCAAAAATCCTTGAAATATATTTCTGGTGGAGCGCCCATCGATTTCTTTACGTAAACTAAGACTTTGCTTCATTATGTTACTTAGCCACATACTATTTTGCTCGTACAGTAATGGGAAAGTTATTAATTTTAAGCAAAATGTAACGGTTGAATATGGAAAATTGAGTTTCATTGCTTCACAAAACCGTTCTACAAACGCACGTTTTAATAATTCGAAGAAAATATTTCAGGATGTATAAATTCACCTCATTTCTAAAAGTATATTAAAATGTCACGATGATCACTTTCAGAATAAAATAGTTGTGTCCTTCTAAAAAGCTCTCCTTATCGGGGGTTCTCCTTTGTGGAGAGAACATCATGATTTGCTTATATTGGGCGATTGATTGTATTTTATCTTTAAATAAGTCATAAGATAGGTAGTAGTGGCTCAATTTCATGAAATAAAGCATGTTAGAAAGGGAATTCAATGTGCTAAATGATTACTCATCAGAGTGTTGAAACAAGAGATAAGAAGGATGATATCTGATATCTGCCAGCATCTGCTGATATCTGCCAGCATCTAGTCGCCTAGTGTTATTAAATTAGCCTCCAGAGATGTGATCAGCATTTTGAGGATGTTTTGTAAAATAATCATAAAATCGTGGTCATTTTTTCGCTCCGTACATGTTAATTCTATCTCAAATAATTTCCAGACAGACTAGAACGCACATTCAACAGGAGTGATTCTCTGCTTGCGGCTGGAACAGATATCATTATACTTAACTTACCACGAGGATGTTACCACGAACCCGGCGTATCGCAATGTATACCCAATGTAGTTGGGGAGGAAAATGCGATCCGGATTGTAGAAGATCTGAGGGACTTTATCGTAACTGACGTCTCGCAGTTTCCTGCAATACTGAATCATGTTTATCAAATAATCTGTACAAGATAGTCTGTCATAATCTATTCATTACGTTACAGTTGTAAACAGAATCAGCCAATGTCTTTAAGAAACAGCAGACATGTTAAAACCTAATTTAACTGTCATCAACATATTGTTATAATTCGAAATAAAATACACTATTTACAAATTATCATTTATTCGTTTGATTTTTGTAATTCATTAAAATCCACAGTGGCGCGGTTTTTCCTCCTATTTATAGAATGAGTATTTTTTCTGGTTTGTATCATATCAGAATATTATTAAAGGTCTCGATTCCATGCTTTATTGCAAATTTGTCCTGCGCATTGCAGAATGAATTTGTCAAAACTACGAAACCCAGGAAAACCAATGGGAAATAATTGACTTTAGTATCGTATATACATATACTTTAAAGCTGATCATATGCAATCACTATAATATGCTATGCTATCATAAAAAAACGGAAATCTAAAAATCAGTATGTGGACACTTCTCCCATTTTGCATGATACTTACATCATGTTCAGTTTTCTGCTTATATACACCAAGAAACATTTCTTAGATAAAATCATTAAATGGTGTGGGTAAAAAATGCGTAAAAACGATTTTACACTTAATATTTACTAACTACATGTACAGGATGGGTATCCAAATAATGGACACCTCAAAATCTACGCAGCTTCTCCAAAAACGAATTACAAAAAAGCAATTGCGTATTAAGTCTTGCGTTTGATTTATTCTGAAATATAATGTGACATTCAACAACAAAGATGTTCATGTTTTGTTAATTTTGTTCAGCACCCCGGAAAGGTACGACGAAGATACACCTTTGAATAGCTGGATCATTTGCTTCGTTAATTCCAGATATAGAAGTAAGTTTGAAGAAATGAGATGATGTTGGCTAAAATCGACCTTAAGCCTGTTTATGATGATCACTATGATATCTGTCTAATTAAATGTATGGTTTACACGGATATATGTCACTAAAGTCTATCTCAATGAATAATGAAAAAATTATTAATAAAAGAGCGATATGTTGCTGATGGAAAGCCTCTGTCAAAAATGAATTTGTGATTCAATAATTTTTCCTCAGTTGTAATTATTTAAGCTAGACTTTAGCTAAACAAAACGTTAATGAGAATTTAACATTAAATTCCAGTTATAGGCAGAATTCCCACGACATTTTTATCACAAACTTGTGTCAGTATCATATGTTAAAGAAAATATACATGTTTGCGAACAGATAGTTCACAAGACAACATTTTGTTACCAAAACGGTTATGTAATCGAGTGGGTCACCACTGTAGCTGAAAAGATGAAAATGTCTTGGCAATTCACCGACGTGTTATTCTACGTTATCAAAACTGGTCCTATCCACAAATGTGTAAGAGGAAGAGCTATTGTGTGGTGATTTGTCGGCCGCCTTGTCTTCTTCGTATCCCGTCTCTCAATTTCCAGAGAATGTTGGAGGCGTTCCAATGGCCACCTATTCTTCTTCGTACCCCGTCTTCCAAATTCCGGAGAATGTTGGAGAAGTCCCAATGGCCGCCTATTCTTCTTCGTACCCCGTCACCCGATTTCCGGAGAATTTTGGACGAATTCCAATGACCACCTTTTCTTCTTCGTATCCCGTCTTCCAAATTCCGGAGAATGTTGGAGGAGTTCCAATGCTTTGTTATTTTATCAAATATCACATTAGCTGTAGGCTGTAATTTGATCAAGTTTGGGATGTACTGTGTAAAATAATATTTACTCACACGGACCATAGTTCTTTCCTCTGGTATTGCTTTGATCATTGCTTTGCCTTTTTTGGTCAGTACTTTGCCTGCTTTGACGAAAAGTCCCTGTGCCCCCAGTTTTCCTATTTCAGAGAAAACTAGCTTTATTCTGCTTAATCCAATTTTTAGATTTTTTTTCAATCCAACTTTCATAAAACTGGTAACGCCATGTCGGATAAAATTATGGCTTATCTCCCTTTTGAGAGCTCGAAAACCTGCTTTAACTCCCAATGTAAATGCAGCTTTTCTTCCCCATAGAAAAACGCTGTGCTTAAAGACCGATAGACCAGTTCTGATAACGGTTGATGCTCCCCATGTTACAATGTCGAGTGCTGCATCAATGGTAAAGTCTCTTAAAGCACCTAGCGCAACCTTAGGACAATTTTTCGCAGCGTATGCTATACTCCTTCCGGCATTGTAGACCCATCCAAATATTGGTATGAATCCTATTACGGTTGCTGCTGTCTCCTCATCTCTATTGTAACATCTATTACATCTGAGAAGTCAAAAATCATTTTGTACGTCTTC